ACAAAGGAAACAATCTCCATGAATTACACCAAAGAAGCACTGACTGGACCAGATGGCTCAATTAGCAACAGGATTACTGCTGTCTGCATCATCATTTGTAAGTGCAGGTGGTAAAGTTCAGGGAATCTTCTGGAAGGGTGACTCTAAGAAGCCACCTCAGAAGGTTGGAAGTCAAGGTTCTCTGATACAACCAGACCTCTGCTGCCAGCTTCCTACACTGTCCCCACTCTGGAGGGTCCTCACTCAGCCCAGTCTATGTGGAGGCGCCTACAGCCCCGGGGCCACAAACCCTCAGTTCCAGTATCGGATCAGGTCTTAATCAATAGTATCAGGGGCAGCACCTCTCCAGACTTTGTTTCCCTCCCAGGCCACATAGGAATCTTCCCACTTAAATAGATTTCTTGTGGCCACTGAGGCAACAATGAGTCAGAGTATGTGAAACCTTAACAACTAGACTTACTCTCCCAGCTCCAAGGCCTCCTCACTTCTACCTGACTCCAGGGCCAATGACTAGAGAAGTGAGAAATGCTGAAATTTGTAACAAAGATGTGCCTTTGTCCTCCTTCACATGGAGTGTCAGCTTTGTTAGCTCCTTAGAAAGCTTTCTGTGGTCTTGTGCAGATTGTAATCAAAGCTTCTAAAGACTGCATGCCCTCACTTGAGCAAGACCCCTACCAAACACAACCCTAAGAGGCTTTCACCCACCCTGCCCTCTTCTGTAGGGACATACCAGGTAGATCCCAGAGAATCTGGTCTGAAAGGTAAGAAAGACCCCAGGGAATTTAGTCAAAAATAATAATTGTAATGACAATAATATAATAATCCTTAATAGGAATCCTGCCTTGTGCTGATGTGCAGGCTGGCACCACATCAACAGCACCCTCTAGTTGAGGACCTTGGTGCAATGCATATTAGCAAAACAGAGCAGGGACAGTCATGACTGCGTCTTAGATGACCGTGTAGCACAGAGAAATGAGATGACCTGTCCAAAGGCATTTGCCTTACAAGTGATGGGGCTCCATGGACTGGCTCCACATGTTGTGCTGTTAATAGCTGCACATGTCGCCTCTTGGACAGTCTCCCAGGAATGGTGCTACCCAGGTGAATCTTAGGTAATGGGGCAGAAGCAGATGTGTGGTCCATTGACCAGGCAAGGTCAGGTGGCAGAAAGAAGTAAGGTGGGGACTGGGGAAACCAAGTGGTGTGAATTCTAAGGGTAGTAGGGAGAGCAGAGTAGGGAACGGGGTTCAACAGAGACAAAGCTAGTGGATCAGGAATCGGTTTTTCAAGCCAAGGGTGGATAGTGCCAGGATGCTTGGTTTCTGCAGAAGTGGTTCATGGTGCCCAGTGAGGCAGATCAGTTACTAAAGAACCCCTCTGGGATGCCCATTCATAGGAGATCATCAAGAAACTAGACAGTTAATAGTAGTTAACTGTATATCATATACAATTAGCTACATATAATTATATATGATTAACTATAGGTAACTATATAATTAGCTACGTAATTAAGAGTTTGACTTTGGAGTCATATTATCCTTGGATTTTTACACAGATTATAAGCTGTATAACCTTAGGTAATTTAATTTGTCCCCTTAGTCTCAGTTTCTTCATCAGTAAAATGAGGATAATAGTAGTACTGGATCAGTGAGGACTTTTCCACCTTACCCTGAATTGGGAACTAAGGAAAGGTCTTGTTTCACATGCAGGGAGCCCAGAGGTAAGATGGACAGATCCAGCAGCTTATTGATGGTGGAGGGGACCCTGGTCTCCCTGTCCTTGGTGTGGGTGTCAAGCTAAGGGCAGAGCACAAGGTGGTCACCAGTGGCACTTGGTCTGTGTGCCGCTGTTTTCACCACCTAGCAAGAGAGTGAGAGAGAATCAGCCTCTCAAACCTTGGCTGTGTGCCCTTAGGCTCAATCTGCCTGGGCCGTGGTCACGAGCCCCCTCCCAGCTGGGGAACAAAGGCTGAGAACACTAGGACTGATTTGCTTCTTAAGCAACTAGACTGTGTCTGTGGGGAGGGTGCTAGGTTGGCTGCAGAGCAAATTGGGAGACAATTAGGAAGAGAGGTGAGGACATGGATGACGGGAAGGCAACCAACACCAGCGCCCACCACCAGGACCGTGATCGAGGCTAGCCACACTGAACAGAAAGATAACCCATGTTGAGTGTGATGGTAGAGCACTTTAACAAAAAAGCAAAAGTGCAAGCACTTTCAGGAATTTCTGTCTGTCTCTGTTTCGAATAATAATCACATTGCTCCTTTGACACTTGCCCCAGGCACAGCACAATGCGGATGTTTTGGAGAAGTGGCAAATCAGCCACTTTCCCTCAGAAAAAGGCTATTCTTGCTGCAAACACTTTGCTGTTGCTTTATGGCTTTTCCATTTTATTGCAAGTGTCTTCCCAGCAGCCTCTGAACATTGTGTTCCCGTGTGCTAAACAAATGTCCTTCTCCCACCATGAGATGTGTCCACCTGAAGTGTCATCTCTGAGCATGATGCATGTCTGGGCTCTTCCCTCGGCCCAGCTGCTCTGACAGCCCTGTGGTCGGGTCCCCTTAGGAGTCCTGAATACCAGCAGGAGACCCCCAGAATGAAATAATTCCCCAATAGGAGAACAAGGCTTCAGGACTACCTTCTACCTGGCAAGCATCACAGATCTGGTTTTGGGGGAGACTTGTCAGAATTCACCACCATTTATGGTATTTTAATAGGAAACAGGGACATCGAGCAAGAGGAAGCATGGGCAGGGAGTCCCAGCAGCAGATCAAAAACTGAAAGTAACAATCCTGCCACCTTATCTGAAGGGGAGAAAGAAGTCGTAAGAGGATGGATAAGGAATATGATAGAGCACTAAAAGACACGGTCCTGATTTGGTGATTTCAGATGCAGGTGTTACTTTCTCCAGGACACACTGTTAACACTAAGAGGACAACTTGGGCCTGGCCACACACAGTAGGCCAGCTGGTCCCTGAGAGCTGAGTGGCACCAAGAAGGTTCCATCTCGAGATAGGTGATGCTCAAGCTTCCCTTTTGTTGGGAGAGGGATTTTGTGTACCTTCTAGATTATATAAGATTCGTGAGTATCTTCATTATTCGTTGGGGCCCAGGGCCATGTCAAGTAGGAAAAGGCTACTTGGAAGAATGTGGTTGCAGCCTTGGGCAGTTCTATAATGCAAGAAGTAGATGGCAGTGGTGGGAGAAGGCGTAAGAACCTGGGTTGCTCAGGTCTGCTTGTTTCTTTGATGAGAGGTGAACAGAGGCAACAGTAAAAAGTATCTGAGGTCATTTTTACTGGGAGCCAGAATCAGCTCTCCACAGGGGGTTCTGGGAAATTTCCGGGTGCTCCCTTTTCTTTGGGGGGGTGTGGAGCTGAAATTGATGGGTCAAGGTCAAGAGAAATGGTGGTGATGGGTGGTTTCCCTTGGTGATTGAGGGATACCTTTGGCAGTTCGCATCTTGTTCCTGGAATAGGGGACGAGGGGCTTTAAAGAGAAGTTTAGAAGGACTCTGCCTTGGGAACCTGTCTTACCTTGGGCCCAGAGTAAGGCTCAAGCCTCCTCAGCCTGCCTCCTACCTCTCTGACAATACCGTCATCACTTCCTGCCCAGCAAAATCAATCTCCATTGTAATTACCAGCTAGAGGAGGTCTGACCCAGCCATTGGGGCCATGTGCCTGCAGCACGGGACCTGCCTCCTCCTCCTCTCTGTCCCACAGTGGCCTCTGTTGTCTGAGCTTTGCACCACCTGCTTTACTCACTCTCAGTGCCCTCACCTGTGGATTTCCACTCAGGCCCACACCCTCTCCCAGCAGGGCAGAGAGAGACTTTTAGGGACCCTGGAAACTGGTAACTTAACTTCCCTTCCAGCTGATAGTCCTTAGACTGGTGCTGCCCATTTATTTGGCATTGAGGCTGAGGGAATGAATGGGAGAAGCTGGGGGCTGCACTCTCTGAGAAACAGAGGCTTCAAATAGCCAGAGAGACCTCCTCTGAGAGGGCAGGGAGCACCCCCACCACACCCAGAGATGACCAGATCATTCTCCTTGATCACAATTCTGGGATGCACACATCCCTTTTCTGCTCATTAGTGTCCAATTCAAGGACACCCCTGCCCCCAGCTTCATGGAGAACGCAGGCCCCAAGGGCAGGAGGGTGAGCAGTTCTGCCCTGTCCAGCACAGGATTGGCACTGCTGGTTCAACTCATGCAGACCCAGCACCCTCATAGTTCACTCAGTGTCACCCTCGGCCATTCTCTGGGGCTCCACTCTCCAGGCTACAGATGCCCAGGGGAAGAGCATCCCTGGAGCAGAAGCTATTCTCAAGGGCAGAGCCTTACATATAGCTAAATCCCTGGAACAAGAACTTGGTCAGCAAAGGGAGAGACAGGATTTCAACGTTGGGGAGAGGTGGGTCTTCTTTGGACTCGGTTATGTGCTGGTCTCCATCAGGACAGACCACCCAAAGCCTGAGACCGCCAGGCTTCTCTCTCCCCACCTGCACACTGGCATGTGAACCAGCACTGAGTCCTTTTCTGAGTGCCCTTTGGGAGGCATGTATTGAGCACCCACATGGCAGCTTCAGCCACTGAGGGCTTGGAGATACAGGCTCAGACACCATACAAGTGAAGGATCTCAGACTCTAGTGGGAGAGACTGACAGAAAAAAAATAAGATGGAGGGTGATGGATGCCTAGTGGAGACCATCTCCAGGGATTATTCCTGTAGAGGAGGACCCCCCAACCCACCAGAGTGTAAAGAAATTTTCTAGAGTCAACAGCAATGAACTGAGATTTTTAGCATGAACTCTCTTGTTATTATTGCATCTTGAACTTTATAAATGAACAAGATCTGCCTAAGTGAGGTTGTGAAGAGCAGAGTGTATGAGTGACAAGGCTTGGGGTATCTCAGGCTCAGGCATCCACCCAAACACTACCACTTCTGAAATCTCTGAGTCCTGGCTGGAAAGCCTCCAAGAGATTTCTGGGTCACAAAGTTCTGATGGGATCACTGAATCAAAAATAAATTCCCTTTTTGCAAAACAGCATCACTGTCATGCACAATCTTGTTTCCTTAAGAAATTCACTCCCAGAAAATCACGTATATTATCTGAATTAAAATCTAGGGGAGAAATAAAAGCACACCTCATGCTGAGTTGATTCTCTCTAATGATCTGATCCATGTCCCGTTTTTGGGTGGGAGGTTATTATAGCAATAAATATTTGTAATTCTTTCTCTGATGTATTGTATTTGTTAACAGCACCACAGGGTAGATGCTGTGCTCAAGAAAATAGGGACAATGAATGATGGGGACTCGAGAGAAAACCAGAAAGGGAGAAGGGTTCTCTCCTTGAGCAGGCAATGGGCTGTGGTGGAGGGAAGTGGAGACCACAAGCCAGGGAATTTGGCTGCTGTTCAGCTTCTGATGCCAAATGGCATTGTGCCTTAGGACACAACTCTTACACCTTTCCGAGCCTGTCTTGTCTTCTGCAGGTTATCTGGGAGAGAATAAAAATAAATTAAAAGATGCAAAAAGATTGTATGAAATAGTAAGTTGCATGCATGCACATTCAACAGAAGACATAGGAGCTAAGGAGACTCCCTGCCTCCTCTTCACCCTCATGGACAATATGCTTAAAACTATTCACTTCTCTAATCTAACTGTTAATAAGTTTCCAGGCTCACAAATGCGCATACAAATCCCATTTCAGTGATCTGGGTAAAATCATGTAACTTTACTGATATTCAGTCTCTTCATTTGTTTAATGAGGGGAATTGCTCCTCAATTAAAAATAACGTCTGTAAAATAATTTCATAAGTGGTCATCATTATTATGATATGTGTGGGTTTAACTTTATCAGCTAGGATGCTTTCAGCAGCATTTAATAAAAGTTCCAACTCCACTAGGAGAAACAAGGAGGAAAACACATTTTCTCATGTAATAAGGAGTCCCATGGTGCACAGCACCAGACTGAGTGATCAGCAACTCAGTGCCATCACCCAAAACCCAAGTTCAGCTTTGGCCTCTGTCCTGACACTGGTCTGTTGCTTTTCTTTTCTTCAAAAATGGCTGCAACCATTCACAGCATCACATGCTTGCCTGGCAATGTTCACAGGTAATGCCCAGAAATACATGTCCTAGTCAATAGAATAAGACACTCACCAGCAAGGAGAGTGGGCAAACCTCTGAAGAGCAACCATGTGAGAGTTTCTGCAACACCTCTTTAAACAAGACCCCAGGGCTTGGGTATTGCCCTTATATGGTCAAATCTATCCTGCACTACCTTGAAACATACTGTGCACACATTAGGTCTTCATCAAAAGGTTGCTACTAATCAAAAACAGCTAATGACGCACTCAGTTAAAATGATCATGGGGCCTCCCCTGATCATGGCAGACCTCTCCTGTCTCGCCCGCTGCTCCCCTCAGCAGTGTATTTCTTCTCTCTGCCTGTTCTGTTCCCCACTCTCTCTGGTGAATCCTCTCACCCTCCCACACATCTGCCTATACCCGGGTTCTTGTATAAATAAGTAAATAAATCTTTAAAAAAATAAAATAAATTAAAATAAAATGATCATGCTTAACCATAACTATCCTGAATGTAGAAAGCTATCATCAGTGTGCTATAATTCCTCAAAATAAGAAAGGAAGAGGAAATTTTGTTCAATAATAGAGGAATAGTTAAGTAACCAATAATGCACCTCTTTCATTCTGCAGTATTAAAAATGATTTTTAGATGACATATAAAAATTCTACTATATAAAAAAGTGAGCAAAATAAAATGCATATACAGCACATTATTCCCACTGGAGAAAGAAAACATATTATAAAATAAAATTACATGTAGAGAAAAATTCTGCTAGCAGAAACCAGACCGAAATGTTGACAGTGATTTTTTCTAGGGTTGTGGAAGTTCAATTGGTTGGTTTTCATTTCTTTTCCTACAATGTTGCAAAATTTCTATAATTCACATGTTTACTTTTATAACAAGGAGAAAAACAATTTAAAAAAAAAATTATAATGGTGCCCAGTCTGACCACAGAAAATGCCTTCTTGGCATGGATCTGCATGTATATTTATATCTTTCTATTCTGTCCAAATCATGTGAAAAAGCAGCCAGACTGTGTGGGGAAGTCTCTGCATCTCATACATTTTTAACAGATTTATTGAAACAAGTAAGAGATGAGGGAAAGGACCTCTTTGCCCTGAGAACTGCTTATATAAACTAGAAGTGATATTGTGGTGACAGTGACCACAGAAATGTGGGTTAGGGGGCCCTTATGGGACTGCAGATGTGTCACAAAAGTGCTGAAAACTTGTGAAATCACAGTTAATATCTGTGACAAATTAAAGAGCGTTGGCATGCATCCTTATTAAGAGAAGATTTATTTTGATTACAAGGAGATTACAAATCTGAAGCTGCCTCCAAAGCAAGAAGTTTGATGAGCTGGATTAGAAAGCCTGAGGTCGGGGGGTGCAGAGAGCCAGTTTGCTGTGTGCCATGGGCGGGTTGCTCATCCCTTTCCCAGAAACCCTGCCTATAACTTTTGTTGGATGAAAGCTTTAAGAAACCAAATATGTACTTTTCCTCCTCATAGTCCTAGCCCACAATGAAGTGTTAACCACAGAAAAAAGTACTATTTTAATGCACTTTAACAAACACAGGGTGTGTCAGACTTCAGCCCTCCACTCATCACCTCCAAACTCTCCTCTGCTGTGTAGCATCATTCCTGAAATGCCATCATTTACTCCTTTGAGTCTTGCTTGATTTCTCAAAATTCCCCAAACAATATTTTCCCCTGGAAAGTGAAGCTTTTGTCACTGTCAAGAAATCTCATGTGTTAACAATGAACCTCGTAGATTAGAAACTGACCACCAGTAGGGAACACTTCTGGATATAAAGTTGAGGAGGCCAGACAAGATGTGGGAGTATGTCTCAAAGTTTCATAGCTATTGTCTGCCATGTGCCCAAAGCTTTCAGAGATCACACACCCGTTGGTTGCTGCAGTAATTTGAAGCTGTAAATTCCTTGATACTTCCATGGAACTGAATTTAAAATATATTGAGCTTTACCATATATAGAATCATTTCATCATCCTAGCTTTCCCTCATTTTCAGAAGTCAGTTCTGAGGAATTGGAAGTTGGTGTGTTTCTCTGTGATAGATAGGTGATTCAAGGAATAGCTCCAAGCCTTAGTCCTCTCAAGGACTCAAAGCTCAAAGGACAGAATTATCTAGAAACTACCATTCATCCTGCCCCCAAACCCCTTCATCCAAACAGGACTCATCATGGTGCTGTCCATGGTCCTGAACACCATGCCTGCCATTTAAGAGGGACTGTGGAAATGAAAGCTTTGGGCAACATTAAAATCTACAGCTTTCTTTTTGCTTCTGCATCTTTAGACAAAACTCTCTAATTGACCTGTGCAATTTGGTGTGACATTTTCCCAAAGTTCTCCCTACAACCATATTTTCTTTAGACATCAATTTTAGGAGTGAAAGATCAACTATCTGGATGTGAAATATTTTATACATGATCTTTTATCATTACTAAAATTAACATAAGAGGTGGCCCTAAAGAATAACTGAAAATGTCATCAATTGAGATTATCACATAGAAAAAAATAACACCTCATTAAAGTGATTGTTTTTGTAGCTCTTGACAAATAGGTCAGTGTCATTAAAGCAATGCTAGAAAGCATACAGAAGACAAAGAGGTTGACTCTATTTAATCTCATCCCTAAATAACCCAGCGTGCATTCTTGTGGAGAAACTGAGAATCATTAAAGTTGAGGTCAGGCTTACTGGTACCCAACCAAGTATGATGCTTTAAGCCATATGCTATGGGAACAATTGCTCTCTTAACTCTTAACAACATAGCCATCATTGTGCATTTCAGAGGTGAAGCCACAGGAAGACTAAGCCCAAACACTCATGACCTGCCCCTGTTGGGACTTTGGCAAAATAGTTTACAAAGCACCTTTGTGGGTACATGAGAAGGATCCCAAAGCATTGGGTACTCACATAGGATCAGGTGCAACTGGTCTCAGTTTTGGAATATAAGTCTCTTGGGTACTGTTAGCAAGAGCTCTTCATACTTCTAAAATTTTAGGAACTGTTTGTAGGCAGGTTAAAACTCTGAACATATTGTCCAGTGTACTTAAAAAGAATAAGAAGGATTTTGGAGTCAGACTATTCTTTCTTCACATACTGGCTTCACTAACCAATAGTTGTGATCTTCGTCAAGTCACTTCACCTTCATAAATCTCAGGATCCTAATTTATAAAGTGGACATAACTGTAAAACCTACCTCTAAGAGTTTTTGTGGGACTGAAATGTGTACCAGGCCCTCCAAAAATATTTCCTTGCCAGTTCATAGTTACTGTGGAATCTGAAAAAATTCAGTGTAGTGTGAAAATACCTGACTATAGTTCTCAGACATATTTAGTCATAGACCTATTTGTTTAATGAAATTATACTTATGAGAACAACATATCAACTAGTTTAAAACTTAGCTGTGGGGTTGGGAGGTAGAGTCCCGTGCCTCAGATGAGTTGTACTACAATCCCTGTACCCACAGAAATCATAAGGGGATGGTTTGTCAGTTGTTCTGGGTACTCATTGTATCTTATTTTAACTACACTTACCTTGTTACCATACCAACTTCCTCAGAAAGGAGGTAGCTATCTCATCCAGCCCCGAATTAGAAAATGCCAGAAGTTGGACCCTTTTTCCAATCAAACAGTGCAGACAGACATTTTCTGGCACCCTGGAATGTAGAGAAATGGTATTATAGGATTAGAATACACACCAGATGATCAAGAGATAAACCATCCCTTTAAGCCAAGCCTTGTTAATTCTTCAAAACTTAGGACTTATCTACCCTACCGAGAAAAGTTTTTTCAGGCTCCCCAATGCACTCAGACCTCTTCCTTCAGTGATCACCACAGCAGGCTTGGGGGATCATATGTGTTATTTCATTTCCCATGTTTTCAATCCTGTTTTTCTCAATTTTGCGTAAGCTAGAGACCCAAAGGTGCTCACTCAGGACATACACAATGAATGGAAGACAATACAGACATTTCCTCATAGTGCTGCTCCTCATACTGACTGTAGGTAGGGAGGCACTCTGAACACTGCCATGTGGAGGATGCTTTCAGTGTAGCAAAGTGAATGAGACAGCGGACCCTGAGGCCAAACAATCAAGATTCAAATTCTGACTGTCATTGGATAACTTTGGGCCTCAGTTTCCTCCTGTGTAAAATAAAAACAATAGTAGTTCTGTAATAGTAGTAATAGTCCTTTCCTCATGGGATCATTGTGAGCATTCAGTTAGTTCATACATGTCAAGGCCTCAGAAAAGTGGTAATTGTTTAATAAACTTATGTGGTAATTGTTTAATAAACTTACCACTCACACTTGGTTCAACATCTTGAAATGAGTTAACATAAATTTATCAAAAGAGCACTGAACTGAGAGAATTTAAATGCTAGTCTTGGTTCCTTCATGAATTTGATATATGACTTTAACAAAGTCATCGTTTCCCTTTGGGCCTTATTTGTATCATTGGCAGGTTGGAATAGATCATCTAAAGGGCCTCCTCTCTTCCATATCATTTTAAATTTTTAATATGGTAAAATACACATGGCATCATATTTGCCATTGTAACCAACTTAAAATACTCAGTTCAGTGACATTAGCACATTCACACCACCCTCCATCTCCAGAGCTCTTTCCTTCTTGAAAAAATGAAACTTCATACCCATTAAACCATAACTCCCCACTCTTTCTTCCTCCCAGCCCCTGGAAACCACCAATCTCCCTTCTGTGACTACCGTTTTGATTATGCTAGCTACCTAATAAAAATATAATAGGGAAATATTTGTTCTTTGGTGACTGACTTATTTCACCTAGTATAATGTCCTCAAGGTTTAACCATATTGTTGCATATGTCTTTTTAAAGACATAACAATATGCTAGTCTATAGAAATGCCACATTTGTTTATCCATTCACTCATGATGGAGTAATTTGGGTTACATCTACCTTTGGGCCATTATGGATAACCCTGCTGTGAACATAAATATACAAATACCTCTTTGAGATCTTGCCTTCAATTCTTTTTAGTATGTAGACATGGAATTGATGGATCATATGGTAATTCTATTTTTAATTTTTTGAGAAGACTTAATTAGCAGTTTTCATTAGCAGATACATCCTTTTACATTCCCACTAACAGTACACTAAAGTTTCAATTTTTCCACATCCTTTCCAACACTTGTTTGTTTTTTCTCCTTTCAATAGTAGTCATTCTAATGGGTGTCAGGTGTCTTATATAGTTCTTGACTTTAAGACTTTCGGTTTGTTGTGAAAGAAATAGCTGGCCCTAGGCTCTGCTGCCCATGCCTTCCTTGGTGCCACTTACTTATGTCTGCTTCCTGTGTATTGTGTATACTCAGTATTCGCAAACAATCTCCAACCCTTTCCTGAAAGCACTGTGACTTGGCTTATAAATACATATGGTGCACACTAAAAAAAAAAAAGATTTATTTATTTATGCATACGAGAACTGGGGTACAGGTCAGAGGTGTGTGGGAGGTGGTAAGAGGATTCACCAGAGACAGATTGGGGAACAGAACAGGCAGAATGACTGAAATACACTGCTGAGGGGAGCAGCGGGAGAGTCAGGAGAGAGGTCTGATGCACCTGTGGGTTGCTCCCTGGCCTGCCGGGAATCAAACTCGTGCTGCAGTGCCTGCGGATACTTTCATAGGTTGTGTCTCAATCTCTTGTGTCCCCAGGGAGGACCGGTGCACTTTGAATTAAAAAAGAAATTCAGTCCAATCTCATAAAAAAAAAAGCAACCTCTTTTGATTTTGTGGACATAAGAAATTCAGGTCTTATTTGTGGGGTTAAGATTCATGCCCTGATCAATGACCTTTCATTTGCTTCCTATATTCATGGCATGGCCCCAGCAAAGCAGGCTTGGGGAATCTATGACCAGGTGTCAGTAAAATATAAATGTCCCTTCATTTTTAATACATGTTGAAGAATGCAGCTTATATCATCACACCTGCCATAAAATATTAAATGTAAGTAACTCAGTGATACCCAAAAGCCAGAGCCAACCTGGTGCCTTTCCCTTCCACTGTTGAGGGAGGTCCCCCAGAACTGGTTGATGCTCATGGCTAAAGGCTGACTTTTTTGGGTCACAGGTTGCTGATTGCTGCAAGGCAATGGATGGCAGGAAGCCAGATCTTCACCCAACACTTTCGGTTTGTCTTGGGAGAGAAAGGGCTAGAGGGATTGCTCCTCTTCCTGTCCTCATCAAGTAAAGAGGGGATTCCCAGTGCCTGTTCTGACATAAACCTAGGATTCAGCAGACTCTTATTGAGGTCCGTGTCATGCTCCCTCAGCCCATCTGATCCCAGCACAATCATGATGGACCAGTTTGTGTACCCTGTCAGAATCTCCAGATCCACTGGCATCTACTCAGCACACACCCAGGTATTGCCCAGAAGTGTGGGAAAGGTCATGTTCCCAGTGGCAACTCTCAACTATTGCAAGATGAGAGGTGGGGGAGGGGTGGCCAATAAATATCCCAGCTGCTTGTACACTGGAGGGATGATTGTGATGTGCATTGTATATATTTTTTTCAAAAGGGTCCCAAAGATATGAGCCCAGTTTGTCCACAGCAATAACTAGCCCCTGTACTTTTCTGTGGCCTGTCTCTTGTTTTCCTTGCCCCTCACTCACACTCCCTGAGAGTCCACCCAGGTAAATTACCTGGGCCCAGTCTTTGTCTCAGTCTCTGCTTTCAGTGTTCACATCAAGGCACAGATTCACAGGATTTCCAGAGGAGCAAGTGAGCTTGGAGGACTGGAAACTGACCAATGAAAGCCAAATAACTCTAAAAGTCAGGTCCTCTGAGAAGTAGTGTACTTCTGTTAAGCTTTTTGTTCTCTGCTCACCTTACCTGGATTGTCGAGGTTAAAAACTGTATAGGTTGTGCAGGTTGGGCATTGTACAAGGGTACCCTATGCAGGATACTGAAATTTGGCACTTGTGCTTACCTGGCTACGCCCTTAAGTACTAGGCTGCATCCACCGAAATAAAAGGCACTTTTACTTAACACAGAAGTACTGACCATTCCTCAGGCCACATAGCTTCAGATTGGCTTCTGCACAAAGGGAGTACTTTTGTCCAGTTCACAAAGCATTGTACAGGTTAACTGTGTCCCTCACTCACCTGGGGTTCTGCCTTATGTCTGGCTGCTTTTATCCATAAACCCAGGCACTCTCTCTCCCCTGTCCCATACGACAGCCCCTTGGATAAATGCTGACTTTGCCCCTCCCTCTTCTTCCCCACAGTTACTCCCATGTTCTCCAGGTTTGTTACTCAAGTCTCCACTCACTCTGGTAAGCGTACCAGCTCATGTACTGGGGTTCACCCATTTGTTCATCTATTCATGCTAATTCTTCAAGAATGTGTACAGTGTTTTCTAAAAGTGTTTGACTCTTGAGTCTGCAGACATGACTCAATCTCAACATTGTCCTGGGAAGGGAAGGACAAACAAACAGGTGGCATTAGAACAGGGACCACTGCAGTGACAGAGGACCACTGTGAGGCCTCTGAGAACACAGAGGAGTCTCTCCCCCAGGTGCGGTGGAGGTGGTGACATAACCTGAGCCATCTTAACTCTAGGTAAGGGGGGGGTGAAGTGCAGGATACTCTAAGAGAGAGCAACAGGTTCATGAAGATAAGCAATTTCTGCAGAGGACTCTAAGTTATACAGTGTTACTGGAATAGAAACTTGGAGTCAGGAGAAAAAGAGAGGCTGGGCTGGGGAATAGGGGGAAAGCAAACCCTGTTCTACAGAGAATGCCCACTGAGGCGCTCACACTCAAATTTGTAAACAATAGGGAGATATTTGGCTCTCAGCAAGGTTTTGGTCTTGCTTGCTTGTATTCTTCAAATAGTAGAAACTGAATGATTTATTACAGAATCTACATGTTTCTGGATGGAAAGCCTCATGATATGGGGGGTTCATTGAACCTGGGTGAACACTTGATTGTAACTAATGGATAAGAAATGTCATGAATGTGCAGACCTCTTCTGTTGTGCCCACTGCTCCCCTCAGCAGTGTATTTCAGTCAGTCTGCCTGTTCTGTTCCCCGCTGTCTCTGGTGAATCCTTTCACCCTCCCACACATCTGGCCTGTACCCTGGTTCTTGTATAAATAAATAAATCTTAAAAAAAAAAAAAAAGAAATGTCATGAATGTGAACTTGGTCTGCTCACCATGGAAGGTGCCAAGTCAGTGAAGCACCAAGATGTGATTACCTCTGATGATCCCGTGCCTTTCACACAGTGGACAGTGAGTCTTGTGGTCCCAGGGATATTAACTGTCTTTTCTGGTGAGAAAAACTATAGGAAAAAATCTTTGTGCCCTTCTCCTGGATGCAAGCATGAAGCAGACAGGAACAAGAAGAGGAGAAACATGCAGGGGGTTGGCCATGGCCTGGGCAGAGGTTCTCCATCCCTGTGCATTTGCTTATGGTCTTAGCAGAACTTTGTAAAATTTAGGGAGGCTCAACTGAGCAGGAAAAGCTTAGGGTCTTTGTGTCCTACTGACCTGTATTCAAAGCCAGGTTCAGGTTCATGCAAGTTTTCAAACTTCTCTGAATTTCAAGTCTCTTTAAGGGGGTTCATGACATTTTCTTCATTGGACTTTAGGACATTTAAAGGGGGCAGTGTGGCAAAGTGCCCGCG